GGCGGCGCCCGCTGCGAAGCTGGGGGAGGAGAGGGGCCCGCGCGAGTGCGGGGGGCGGCGAGAGCCGTCCGCTTCTGTGAGCTCGGCCGGCGGGGGGCCGAGGTGGGCTGCCGAGGAGGGGGCGGCCGAGGTGGAGGAGCCTGGGCGGGGTGATGATGGTGTTCAATGTGGCCGCGCAGTCCCCCGGGAGCGGCCTGAAAGGCGAGTGCGCTCACCAGCTGACAGCGCGTGCTCCGCTCCAGACGCTCCGCACCGCGGCCAGGAGCCTCTGCCAGCCCCTCTATTGTCAGGCGTTCTCTAATTAAGAAACACTCACGTTACGGCAAGCCACCCCCACGCTTCTGGGTTCCTGTCCTTTTCTTTATCTTCCCCGGACTTCTCTCCTCCCCAGCATCCTAAGATTTAACCCCTTCTCAGCTCCTTGGGCCTCCTCCCCTTAGGGGCCTAGCCCGAGGAGGGAAGGCAGGGACCAGGCGGGTTGGTGGACGTCTACACCTCTGCCTAGCAGAGTGAGGGTGAGGGCAGCCAGGAGAACAGGGTGAAAAGCAGAGCGCACAGCTTTCACCTCCGTTATACAACTCCCCTGTCCGTCCCCCCAATTTCCAACACCAAATGCGAACAGTGTCACTACTAGAGGCCATCTTGACCTGCCAGCAGCACTCGCTAGTTTGTCTAGATTGCAATTGAGAAGTCTAGACTGTCATTGCCAAACCAACCAGTCTGCTCCTGTTTTAGTCAACTAACTCCATCTCTAGTTGTGGTTTGGAACCGATAAGAAGTTGATAATTTCTTGAACTTTCAAATAAGTAGATGAGAGAAGTAATTACTAGATACACTTTCTTAAAACTACTTATTTGATTTAGATTAACTCTCTAAAACCCATAGGAGGTCAGGCCTCATAAAAAAGTATTGGTTGTGTGGTAGTTAAAACTAAGGACATCGGTCCCCCTTGTTTTTCTGGACAAGTTGAACCCCATTTAGGCACGGACCATAAAGAAAGTGTTTAAACTTGCTTGTTGCCAAAAAATAATCTTTCCAGGGCTCTCCGTGAAATCAAATAAGTTTCCCAAAGTGTGGCGAGCCAAACCCCTCCACACATGAAAGTGGTGGTGGATGGGAGGCAAAGAAAGACTATAAAGCAAGCTGCTTAAAGTATACAAAATTCTCGAAATCACCAGCAGTGTTGCAAAGAACTAAACCGATTTATTTATCTTCATTACTTTAAGAAATGCTGCCTCTTTGTTTGTCTGGGTGATATTAAGCATGCTTAACTTGCATACATAGTTGATGCCTTTGCTAGTATCTTGGATACTTGGATCTGACTTTGGAAGGTAGAAGCTAATTGCTAATAATGGAGAGAAAGGAACCAGTCAGCATGGCAGGAGTGGTCTGGCATATGGGGAATGAGCCCTCAGAAATACTCAATATTCAGGTTTCCAAAATATTAATGAGATTATAGAAACCTGCAGCTATATGGTACAGCTTGTTAGTGGAGTGTTAGAGAGTGAAAGGCCAAGCATTTGTTATGCAAACTTCCTGGGAGAACTTTAAAATGGAAATGTGACTGTGCATCTCTGTCAAATGCCAGCATTAAAAAAAGAAGAAAGAAATAGAATGAAGGAAAGAAAATGAGGTTAAAGTCCTTCTCTGAATGTTGAGCACTCACTTTCCCACCCAGTGATTTAACTTTTGGTACAAGCCCTGATGAGTTTAGAAGCATTCATCCTCACTTTTCAGTCAGGGTGGCAGTTTCTGCCATGATAGGTTTCCTCTTGAGAAGAATGTAAAGTGGCTTCCTTATTTGAAGGTGAGGCTGCCTCCAACTAATATACTCACATAATGGGGCCAATTATGTAAAAGCACCCCTCAATATCTGCCTGGTATGGCTGTGCAAGAAAAAGAACACCAAGAATTTAGACAGCTTTTTACATCTCCGATGCGATCTATCAAGTTTTCAAAGAAGTCAATCAAGCGTTGACTTGGTAGAAAGGAGTAGGGGAATCCTGCGCTTAGTACCCTACCAGCACTTTCTGGATATGTGATCTGGGGACATTCGGGGCAGTAGTGCCTTCCTTTATAAAAATCAGCGATGAGGAAGACATCTACGAGGGTCCCTCTCTGTTAGTTGTTGTTTGAGAACCCATGAAAAGAAAAGTAACAATTTAGGCAGAGGTAGGGCTTTTTCCTCTTTGGTAGACACAAAATGAACGTGAATGGATTTGAAAGATAAAATAAAGATTCTTTTTCGTTGAAGGGAAAAAACCCCAACAACAACAACAAAAAACAAACAAGCACCACATCAATTTCCCCACCCTTGTGACCTTCCTCTCTCAGATCCAAGCGGGAAAATTATTCTAGCTTCTCTTCTCTTTCTCTCTCTACACACACCCGCTAAACACTCCAAGCCAAACAACTGTAAAATAACCGCGCGTGCTCCCATCCTGAAAAGTTACTGGACGCCCATGTCATTTCGCTTATTAAAAGCGGAATGGAACTGTGCTAGAAGCAATTGCTTGATTTATTCAGCACCCTGAAGATTCCTGATGTTTATCTTGAGCAGGACCAACTCGGTGGGTGCAAAAGGTTATCTTAGGGACAGGTGCATTGTTTCGGCCCCTGGAGAGTGTCACCAGGTGCCTCCCACTTCTGGAGAGCTGGCAGAGGCTCTCAGCTTTCCTGGACGGCTTCAACTGCCGCCAGGGATACCTAGGCGGCCAATTCAGCCCTGGTTCTCTCCTTCCCGGCTCAACACTAGAGGCTGCGCTTGCTCCCTCACCCACTAAATTTTCTGCAAACAGAATGTGGCTGTCTTTTCAATGGGGGATAAATGGGGTGCAGGAGCAAATGAAGGAGCCTTTCCACTTATTCTGCAGTTCCTCAAGCAATCTGTTTCCCCCCAAAAGGACACATCATGGACAAGATTTGGTTTACAACCAACCTCTCGACTCAGCGATGGCTACTGGGTCACTGTCCCAGTCGAGTTTATTCAGTTGGTATATTTCCATGAATTTGCAATTCACTTTTTGAGAAAATAAATTCTGCTTTCTGTACTTCCCACCCCATGATGTATTCGTGCTTTCCAAATCTATGACCCTGAAACTCAGCGCTTTTCTTCATTGACAATACCTACCTGCACCGTGAGTGAGCCCGCGGTTCTCTTTCAACAACTGTCTCAGAAATGTAGGCGAATGTTTTCGACAGAGAAGCTAGTTCAGAAGGTTATACTAAAAGCAAACATTAATTTCTAGAAATGTGTTGTTGTAAAGGAGAAAATGATGAGCATACGTGAAAGTCAATTAATTCCTGAGACAATTGCCCACGTCTTTAAATCAGCGAGCTCCAACTTCCCGTTCCCACCAAGAGTTGCTGCAGCCTCCACTCCCTCCAGAGGAGCTCCCCGCCATCTAGTCAATTCCCACTCACCACAACCCTCTGGGGCAGGGTAGACTTGTCCCTGTGGGTTTCCAAGGCTGTGAAGCCTCATATTTTCCCCAAGGAGGAGCTGATGGATTAGAACTGTTGACCTTGTGGTGGTTAGGAGCCCAACCATACTTTATGAGAGATTTTGAGAAAGAGAAATGGAAGAGGGGAAGGAAGAAGAGGAGGAAGAAGAGAAAGAAAAGAAGGACCAATAGAAGGAAGGAATGAAAGAAACATGGTGAGTTTGTGTTATGTATCTGGTCACTAAAAAAACTTGCTGCTTGTCTAATTTTTTTTGAAATATTAGCTAGCCCGGTTTGCAGTTCCTGACTAGATTCTAGGCTACTTGAAACACATGCCTCCCCTTGCAGAGATGGGGCTAGGAGTAAGGAGGGCTGGAAAGATCCTGACCATCCAGGGCATGAATAGTTTTCTGCATAGGATTCCTGGTGCAAGGTACCATACCCCTCTCCCCCAAATGCTTGGTTGCATAAACTCATATTGAACAGAAGAGGTAATCCCCACCTTTAAGAGCATTCAAAAACATTTTCAATATTTATGACAGTCCAATAAGCAAATAACTCATAAGTCATTGTTCATGTTTATTTTCATCATTTGCAAAAAGAAATACATAAAACAATGGTAATTGGCTGGGCTAAATTAAAATAAAATGATTTTGAGTAGAAAACGTAATAAAAACGAACCAAGACAAGTAGAAATGGTAGCAAACACGCAATAATAAATAAGTCCTCTAACATTAGCAAAGCAAAATAAAATGGGCAAAACGCTGTTTTTGACACAACTAAACGGTGTTTTTTAAAATTTCATTTTAAAATAATTAAAAAAACAAATATTTCCAAAGACGTAAGAACAATATGTGGCTGTGTCTGTTTGTTTTTAACAAAACTGGTCTGCAATTGGCAGTTGAGTTTCACCTGGAGCCCCAACAACAGCGGCCGATAAAGTGCGTGCGCCAAGTTTCCTACAAGACGCCAATGTTCTCGCGATTGAATATACACACTGGGTATGTTTTATACACTATATAAACCTCAGAGTCCCCTGTTTCCTAACAATTCCATCGTCAGAAGTTATTCATCTTGCAAGCGTGAGCAAACTGCGGTTCATAACTCATTTTGGGAGAAGGACTTGGGAAGACTCACGTGAGTGCGCGCAACACACAGGGATGGATGCCCAGGGCATAAAATAATTAAACACAAACCAGCGACCGACAAGAAGCTATGGTGTTTTAGCAGCGGACTGGAACTTGAATAAATGATGCCATGGGCGGGGGTGGGGAACTCCAATTGTACCGCATCTATCTACAGGGCAATCGACGGTGGAGGGAGAGAACCGAGCTCTAACAGCACGTGTCCATCGACAGTCTGGCCCAGCAGGAGTGGGAGCAGCGGCGGCATTCGCAAATGGTCAGGGGCAGCTGCCCCCTGAAGCCAGGTCGTTTTAAACGACGCCCGCAGCAAGGGGACAATGAAAGGGTGCGGGAGTCTAACTGCGACGCGGCTGGTGCGCTGGGAAAGGGTGACTTTGTTGCTGCCTCGGGTTTCCGGGTTGGGGTCACCAGCCTAACTCGCCTCGTCCGAGTCACTGTAATGGGAGTGAGGGGAAAACTCCCCGTCGCTTCGATGTGACCTTGGCGAAGTTTTGCTACTGTCGTCCTGCACCGGCTGCAGGATGCCGCCGGGCAGCGA